CATGACAAATCCCCGACAGAAAACTGCTGCCGGGTTCTATTTATGACGTGCTGATACAAATTTCAAATGGTTTTCAACGGTTGTTTGATCGCGTCCAGTGTAGGCAGACTTTAGCTGTTGTAGACACGGTGTTACTCACCTATTGAGAAGAAACAAAGCAACCTCGGCGTCCGATCGCAGGCCTTCCGCTCCTTGAGTTCTCTCCAGCGCTGGAAAGCTGATCCGATATTTACACGGGTCCTACTTCTTGCCTTAAGCCTTCTTTTGTTCCGCAGACGTTTTCCTCTTTTGTTTTTTATCAGCCATCTCTATCTTTCTGTCGCTCGGCTCGCTAATGTCAGTCCTGTGCACTGAACGCTCTCTCCTCCACATCATAAGTAGACACGCCCCTTACTGCTGATTGGCTACAAGCTTGTTTTGCTAGTCGGCCCGAATCAGTTTTCTAAAGCGTTTTTGAAAAATCGCTTACCCCACATTTAAGGGATGGATGGATGGATGGGTAAGAATGCATTAGATGGATGGATGGGTAAGAATGCATTGGGTGAATGGATGGGTAAGAATGCATTAGATGGATGGATGGATGGGGAAGAATGCATTGGGTGGATGGATGGGGAATAATGCATTAGGTGGATGGATGGATGGATGGATGAAAGGCTAAAAATTGGCTGGGGAAGAGTGCATTGTGTGGATGGATGGGGAAGAATGCATTAGGTGGATGGATGGATAGATGGCTGGATGGATGGATGGATGCAAGGCTAAAAATTAAGGGATGGCTGGGGAAGAGTGCATTGTGTGGATGGATTGGGTGGGTGGATGGATCAATGGATGGGTAAGAATGCATTAGGTGGATAGATAGATGGATAGATGGATAGATGGATGGATGGATGGATGGATAGATAAAAGGCCAAAAAGTAAGGGATGGATGCATAGATGGGTAAGAATGCATTGGGTGGATGGATGGGGAAGAATGCATTAGATGGATGGGTGGATGGATGGGGAAGAATGCATTGGGTGGATGGATGGGGAAGTATGCATTAGGTTGGATGGATGGATAAAAGGCCAAAAATTAAGGGATGGATGGGTAAGAATGCATTGGCTGGATGGATGGGTAAGAATGCATTAGATGGATGGATGGATGGATAGATGGAGAAGAATGCATTGGGTGGATGGATGGGGAAGAATGCATTAGGTGGATGAATGGATGGACGGATAAAAGGCCAAAAATTAAGGGATGGATGGATAGATGGGTAAGAATGCATTGGGTGGATGGATGGGGAAGAATGCATTCGATGGATGGATGGATGGATGGATGGATGGGGAAGAATGCATTGGGTGGATGGATGGATGGATGGATAAAAGGCCAAAAATTAAGGGATGGATGCAAGGGGAAGAATGTATTAGGTGAATGAATGGATGGATGAAAGACCAAAAAGTAATGGATGGATATATGAATGGGGAAGAATACATTAGGTGCATGAATGGATGGATGAATGCATTAGGTAGATGAATGACTGGATGGATGGATGGATGAATGAATGAATGTGGGTTGGATTTTATTGGTGGATGGATGGATAATTGGGGTTAGATGATTGAACTGGGGAAGGAAGGTGCATTGATGATATAAATATGAATAAATATCATTCATATTTATTTATATCATCAATGCACCTTCCATCCCCATGGTTGGTCTGAAGATGTGGATGAATGGAGGAATTAACAAATAGAGGCATGGATGATGGGGCAAAAGTTGAGAAATGGATGAATAACTGGAATGGAAGGTGGACTTACAGGTGGGCCACAAGATGACTTAAAATTAATATATTAATAAATAGTGCAGTGTATTAATAGTTTCAATTTACATCTTAATGTAACACAAGCATAAGCAAATATACACTACTGACAGACAAGTGACAGACAAGACATCTGTTTGTAAGATTTCAAGTAAACATTCCATTCATCTAAAAATGTATCAGATCAGAGTTTCCACAATATAGGCTATATATATATATATATATATATATATATATATATATATAATAAGAAGCAAACAATAGAAAAAAACTGTATCATGAAGAATATATATATAATAAGCAGCAAAAACTGTTTTCAACATTCATAATAATAAGAAAGATCATAATATTTAAATTAATAATTGAGCACCAACAATAACTGAGGACCAGATCAGCATATTAGAATGATTTCTGAAGAATCACTGAGTAAAAACTATTATATTGAGGGGCCTTTGAATATTGTGTTGGACAACATGGGGATTTAAATCAAAAAGGTTAAGAAGCCCTATACAGGTGCATCTCAATAAATTAGAATGTTGTGGAAAAGTTCATTTATTTCAGTAATTCAACTCAAATTGTGAAACTTGTGTATTAAATAAATTCAATGCACACAGACTGAAGTAGTTTAAGTCTTTGGTTCTTTTAATTGTGATGATTTTGGCTCACATTTAACAAAAACCCACCAATTCACAACAAATTAGAATACTTCATAAGAAAAATACCAATAAAAAAAACATTTTTAGTGAATAGTTGGCCTTCTGGAAAGTATGTTCATTTACTGTACATGTACTCAACACTTGGTAGGGGCTCCTTTTGCTTTAAAGGGGTCATATGATGCTGGAGTATTCTAATTTGTTGAGATAGTGAATTGGTGGGTTTTTGTTAAATGTGAGCCAAAATCATCACAATTAAAAGAACCAAAGACTTAAACTACTTCAGTCTGTGTGCATTGAATTTATTTAATACACGAGTTTCACAATTTGAGTTGAATTACTGAAATAAATGAACTTTTCCACGACATTCTAATTTATTGAGATGCACCTATATAAGTGGATGGATGAATAAATGTGCACGTTGCTTCCTGCCCCTTACAGTTTGTGCCATTCCGGGATTACATGGACCGGACGGGAAACCACGTGTTGAGTATGGCGCGACTGGCCAAAGACGTTCTGGCTGAAATTCCTGACCAGTTCATTTCTTACATGAAGAGCCGGGGAATCAAACCCAATCCGGCGCCGCCTCCATACACACCACCAGGACACACACACCACACACAGATCTGAGCGCACGCTCCCAAACCTGCTTTAACACAACAGCTCCTCTCCCTGGAGTCATGGGGTAGCTGTACCGGAGCTTTTAGGGTTTAGCTCCCAGTGTCACCGTGTGTTTGAACTCTCCGAGACACTTTGAGGTACAGTGGCGTTTCTGTTTGTGCCATTTATATTTTCTGCCCGTTCATTTTTTTTCTTCGGAAGGATGGTGTGATCCACGAATCTGACCCAAGGGCAGCTTTTTTTTTTGTTTTGTTTAAAAATATCTATATCTTGGCCTGTGACTGTTTCTTATTTTGTGGATCAGTTGACAAGAGGACGAAGAGCAGGAGGAGGAGGAGGATGTTTGTGGTTTCAACTTGTGCCTGTCTGTGACTGTCTCGGTGTACCAGGACAAGTGTGCCCTAATCTGACATTTGACCTTACTCCACATTGGTATACTAGAGTGTGCGCTTTACAGTGACGTTTTTTAGATTTGTATCGCTTTCATTTCGTATCAGATCAGGCCTGTGTCCATTTGGGTTTATTACGTTAAGCATTGCTTGTGCAAAAATGTTATTTGTTTCTCCGTCTTTATCCATTATGATTTAGGAAAGCATGCATGCGTGAGAAGAGGCTAAATGAATCATTTTGTTTCCTATTCATGAATGGTGTGATGAGAGAAGTACTATTTTCCCACAGTTTCACACACGGCACCTGCCTAAAGTGACTGTAGAAGTACAACTTCTTCAATAATCAGCATTACCCTCACTCATGTGCTTTTGTAGGAATGCATAGGGGCCATTTTGGCCGACCCTGCGTAACTGCAGCACAGCCGATATGGGTCCTCTCTCCCTCTCAAGCAGAAATGAGGCCTGGAGTGTGCTCAGAATGGTGTCACCCACTCAAGCGTAGTTCATTCACCAATTCAATTTTGTCAAGAGGCTTTTAATCAAATAAGAGTGCCTGATGTATCTGTACTCTGCCAGTATTGGGCTGAATGGAGGAGCTTGTGTAATTGAGCACATTACAGTCCTGTCTGGGTATAATAACCATGAGCATTTAGCCCTGTGACTGTGTATGGGGTGTTCATTACCTCCAGATGTATTTCTGCCAACCCATAAGGCTTTGACAGAGCATCAAAGCATCAGAGGCTTTTCATCCCCCAGATGTCGTTAATGTATTTTATTCTCTTTATTTTAAAATTCAAAATAATGCTGTTGTTTTTTTTCAATTTAAATCAGTTGATTAATTGATATTTGTATTTATTCCACACAATATTATTTATTTCTTTTTTTTATTTTATGCTTTCATGATTTGTCAGTTATTATTTTTTTAATAAATTATGATCTTTTTACACACCATATACTATATCAATACTACATTGTCCTTTTTCATGTCATTAATGCATTTTATTCTGTATATTTGTGTGTTTATCCACCTAGTTTTTATTTTTATTTTTTCAGGTTTAAATCGGTTGACTTTCTTCAGATAATCACTTTTTATTATTATTATTTTTTTTTTTTGAATAAATTCTTGGATTTTACACACCATATACCACATTAATAAAAATTCACTTTTCCTTTCCATTTTACCCAAGATGTCATTAATGCATTTTATTCCGTCTATTTGTGTGTTTATCCACCTAAATTTATAATTCTAAATACTGTTTAGTTCAGATTTAAATCAGTTGATTTTCTTAGGTTGAATTGATTTGTATTTATTGCACACACTATTATTGCTTTTTTTGTATTCTATGTTTTTGCTATTTAAGTAAATTATAAAATAAATAAATTATAGGATTTTTACACACCGTATGCCACATTAGTAAATATCCTGCCCTCAAGATAATCACTGGAAAGAGTGTTGCTTTAAAAAAAAAAAAAAATTATTCCATGAAAATGCCAGTGAGATCACTGAAACCAGTTTAACTATGCATGTCATCAAATGATTTTACTACGCAGAGGCTTGGTAGACTGTCATCACAGAAATCAATCCAATGTGGGGAAAATTTTCTAAATCTACCGTTTTAGGATATTTTAATGCAACACTAACACTTTGTATTACAAAACAGTTTTACACTTAACACAGTCTAACTGCCTCATTTTGGTTTGGAAAAACAACAAAACAGTATAACTATACTCAAAAGCGTCGATGTTTACACTGCTGCAGTTTCCCCAAAGGTCCAGAGATCATCTTGGGAACCATTGATGTCGGATGAATAGGATGTTGCAACACTAATTGTATTCGTCCATTTTAATGCCTTCAAATGAATGACCTTTTCTCAATAGCAACCCCACACTATTCAGTCTGTTCATCTGTTCATCAGTTCTTTGTCATTTGTGAAGTCAGTGACATCAATTCCTTTTTTTTTTTCAGCTAGGAACGTCATTGTTCATGTAATATCTGATCAAAAGCTTGGATCTACTGAATTAGCACAGAGGAGATTTGCCCTGTGAGTTTATCTAGAAAAGCACACAAAGGAGGTTCAAGCTTTTTGCATATTCCATAGTGAGAAATTTGATAGCGATGCAAATGAAGATCTAGGGCATATTTACAGTATAAGTCATGTACACTCTCAGAAAAAAAAAAAAAGTTACAAAAGCTATCACTTAAAAAGGCTACCTTTTCAAAAGGTATAAATATGTACCATTTAGGTACTAATAGGTACCAATGTGCACCCTTTAGGAGTAAATAAGGTACAAAGGTGTACCTTTTGAAAAGGTACTGCCCCAGCAGCTTTTGTACGTTGCTGAACTTCTTTTAACTTCACAAGATTTTTTAAAAATGTGCCGCAATGGTCAAATATGTCCATTTAACCAGCGCATGTTTACATAGATAAAAACAACTACAAAGTGTTTTTAAATCAAAAATACAGTCAACACCGCAGTGGTTGTCATACTGGTATGATCTGTTTTCCAGCATGGAACTACAAATGTTTACAGTCTACTGTTTTTCGCAAGCAATTCTCATTTCTCTGAAACATTAAGGGAGCACTTTACTGCAATGCCATAGGCCTGCTTTAAATAAGCATCTGTTTGTTTCCCTTTCTTGAGATGATGTTGTAAGAAAATTGATTTATTTTTTTCCTGCCTGGAATATACGATAAGCCATTAAATACAGTGTTCAGCAAAGAAAATGACCAGTGTTCGTGACGACTGAATCGCTTCATAAGACAGAGGATGTATGTATACCTGTATTACAGGAAGTGTGGGACGCAGGACCTGTAACACATACATTGAATGCTGTTCACATGTAAAATACTGTAAGAGACTGTTTTCATCTGAATACTTGTGCATGTATGGCCTGAAATTTAGTGGACTGATTGGGATTGTTTTCTCTTGCTATTTCTGTAGTTATGCTGGGATGTTTTATATATATATATATATATATATATACACACACAGTATATTACAATATATTTTAATAATCAATGTATCGCCTGAAATTTAGTGAACTGATTGGGATTGTTTTCTCTTGCTATTTCTGTAGTTATGCTGGGATGTTTTATATATATATATATATGT